ATGTTGATGCTTTATAATATAATAATTACTTCTATTTGCTTAATTGACTTTAAAAAAACGTTCTTTTTTAACTCGGTAAGAATGACACATTTATTTATAGTTGTCAAACAAAAATGTTAATCTTGGATGATTACTATGTCGCACTTCTTTTTAATATACTGATTAATTTTCATCGACGTATAATTTCTGTTTTGTTTATTTTGAGCAATATATCGGAAACCTTTCCAAGTTTGTGTGAAAAATATATGTCAAGTTTTAAATCTATTAGTTATATTTAAAAGAATTCATTCCATTTCTTCATCTTGTGTAATTTGTTCTTAATCGTTGAAGTGCTCGAGTGTCTGTATTAAGTGGTATATGAATAGTCGGTTGCACTTCGTTATTATTTAAAAGACGTCTCAAGAAGCGTACGAAGGATCGTGGCCACAATTCTGGTAAACCAATCAACGATACAAATGGACAGAGTAAATGAACCATATAAACGCCATATTGAAGAACATCATAAGTAAGATCTACCAACATTGGCTGATAAGTAGTGGAAAATAATTGAATTAACATGAAAATAACCATGAGAGCTAACACTATATTATGTAGCAAAGTAATTGATAATACTTGAATAAGAAGTCGTCGGTTTTTCTTCCATTTATTTTGTTGTTTCATATGATGTTTTCTGTGTAACACTCGACTTACCAATACAATATTACCTAAAAGAGCTATAGTTTCAAATACAGTAATATTAAAAAGTAAATCAAAAGTGCTTGGTATAATATCGAATACATAACATGGTCCTCCACAGAGATTAACAGTATAATCAAAATAAGTGATACATGGATAAATATAAATAATACCAATATAGAAAATAAATGGATACAGAATGCAGATGATTATTGGTAAATAATGAAGGATAATGAAATGACGAAGAATGAATGGACGATGAAAAATCAATAAATAACGTTCACTCGAACTATACGTCATGAGCATGAGAATAATACCACCTAGGATAAAATCTTGAGCAGACCAAAACTTACAGAAACCATCTGACGTAACTAGAGAAATACCATTATGCAAATATGACAACGTCAGGGGTTGTTCACTAATTACCTATAGTTTTAACAGAAAATGAAAATGGAATGCAAAACTATTCATTTCTATATATATACTTGCAGAAAACTAAAGATTAATATTAATAACACCGAATGATTGTGAACATTTCGACGTAGTTGACGTTTATGAACAAAGTTTATAAATAAATATAAATAGCATAAAGTCGATGGAATAAAAAAGGTGCACAACAAAATAAATATAAATGAACGACGAAAATCTGAAGTTGAATTAAGATTGGTTGTATCGGAATCAGTACTATTGTTCATTGTGAAATATTTTTGTGATGTAAACTTATAAATATGTCTAGTCAAATAATTATGAAATTTGAGTTTTTATTTGAGGACTACGTCGTACTATTTCAGTTTCTATATAGAAAAAAAAAATTTGACGTTATGACAGAAATCTTAGAAACGTAAGAGAATATTATGCTATTAGTAAATTGAAAATTTATTTTCTAGGAATATGTTGGCTCTATAAAAGTGTATGCTTTCTTTTGTTTTTGATACATATAAACATTTAATCATGACATCATCCACATATTTAGAAATTAGTTATCAATAACAAAATTATTTAATCCTATCGAGTATTTATGACCGATCGAAAAATGCAAATTTGTAAAAATAAAACCGGCCAACATTGATGAACTCGAACTTTTTTTTATTTTAACAATTTTAAAATGTTGATGCTAATTATGGCAGGGCGAGTAAATAATTTGCTTTGATAACTCTATACGCTGGTCCTATCTCAGTTGAATCCGTTAAGTCTTAACAATGTAAATACTTTCTCTATGATTCCACTTCAACAACTTCATAGTTTCACGAGGATGAGGTGGGTGTGAATGTCTATCACCTACACCCACACGCTCAAGATAATAACTTTTCATCGAGTTTCATGAGAAATATTTTTATTTTTTATAAAAAAAAAAGTAGATTTAAGAGTAAATTTTAACAAATATTTAAAAGAATATTTACATTGTTTGCACCATATAATGTCACAGCGATATCATCTCGATTATCATTATTCAAATCTTTAAGAATAACGCATGTTGGTCGAGAATCATATTTCAATGAAAAACATTTTTGATTTATGAAAGTACTATTTCCATTACCGAATAAAACACAAATATTGTTTGTACCAAAATTAGCAACGACAATATCCAATTGATTATCGTTATTAAAATCACTGGCAACAATTGATTCAGGTTGAGAACCACTTTGCATTAAATAAGGTGTTGAACTTGAAAAACTTCCATTAACACTTCCAGTGAACACAATTATATCATTAGTTTCACTATTTGCAACAACAATATCAGTTCGAGAATCATTATTAAAATCACCAATAGCTATTGACGTTGGGTTGGATCCAAGACCAGTCGAATAAGTTGTTATATTTGAAAAACTTCTATTTCCATATCCAAAAAGTATACCTAAATTATCAGTATTCGAATTAACAACAGCAATATCGAGATAATTATCATCATTGAAGTAATCAACAGATATGGATGCAGGACTAGAGTTTTCACCCACGAAATATGTTGTTTGTCCACCAAATGGTATTTTATCAGAAGCAAGAAAAATTGTAATATTGTTGTTACTATAATCAGCATAAGCAAAATCTAGACGATTATCTTCATTAAAATCTCCAATAGCAAGACTATATGAAAAAGAACCTGGTTTTTGAGGAATTGGATGAATACTAGCGAAATTTCCATCATCGTAACCAAAGAGAATTCCAACTTGATCAAGATTTAAACCACTTACGGCAATATCCAATATATTATCATTATTGAAATCTCCAACGTCGACAAATGTTGGCAAAGAATTAAAACCAGTTGAAAATGTCTTTAAATTTCCGAACGTACCATTACCATACCCATATAACACACCAACATTATTGCTTGCATAATTTGCAGTAGCAACATCTAGTCGACCATCTCGATCGAAATCACCAACGGCTACTGACCATGGAGCAGTACTAGTACCAGTTGAAAAGGTCATTTGTGTTGAAAAACTTCCATTTCCATATCCCAAAAAAACACCCACATTATTACTTCCATAATTTGCAACAATTATATCGTTCCAACTATCATTACTAATATCAGCTATGGCAATGAAATTTGTACCTGCGCCATCTCCAGTTATTAATGTTATAGCATCTGGAAAAGTACCGTTTCCATATCCTAGAAAGACGGAGACAGTATTACTACCATAATTACTTGTAACAATATCGAGAAAATTATCATTATCAATATGATTAACAGCAACGGCTTGTGGATGACTGTTAGAACCAGTTGAATACGAGACAGGATCTTTGAAGCTACCATTCCCACATCCTAATATGACACTAATGCTATTAATGGCCCAATTTGCTATGGTAATATCCAAATTGCTATCATTATTAAAATCACCGACATCGAGTACCCAAGCATGTGCTATAGGAACATATCCAAATGGTATCATTGATGTAAATGTACCATTTCCATAACCTAATAAAATCCCTACATTATTAGTACCATAGAATGCGACTACAATATCAGTGTGACCATCATTGTTAAAATCACCAAGAACTACTGATATTGGATTTGAACCATCACCAGTTTCATACGAACCTTGTTCTACAAATAATATATAATCAAATCCATAAAATACACCAATTGTATTTGTTCCCATATTAGCGACAACTAAGTCTAAATAATTATCATTGTTAAGATCATAAATATAAAGATCAATGGGAATCGAATCTGATCCAGTTGAATATATCAATTCTGTTGAAAATGTTTCATTGCCACGTCCTAAAAGTACAATAATACAATTATTGATTGGATCAGTAACAGCAACATCAAGTAGATCATCTTTATTAAAATCATCAACAATGATATTTTGTGGATTGGCGCCACTGTAAAGTGGAAAAGTGACTGCATTTCTAAAACTTCCATTATTATATCCATAAAGTATTCCAAGATTAGCATTTCCTGAATTGGCAACAATAATATCCATTTGTTTATCATTATTTAAATCACCAACACCAAGTGAAAGAGGATCAGAACTAGAACCAGTTGAATAATTTTTTAAACTATAAAAATTTGGATAATAATCTCCTAATAATATGGGTACATCATTTGCAGTTTTACTTTCATTATTATACATTGTCTTATTTATTTGATTTGTAGAATCTTCAGTTGGATGTCCAAGTAATATGGCAATATCACTCGTACCAGTATTCATAACAGCAATATCTGGTCGATTATCTTCATTAAAATCATCGACGACAATTGAATATGGAATGGAATTATATCCACTATTATAAATAGTTTGATTACCAAAATATTTTGAACTATTTCCAAGAAATACACCAATATTGTTATTATTCGAATTAGCAACAACAAGATCAAGTGAATCATCATTATTTAAATCAGCAATATACACGCAAAGTGGTAGTGAATTGACACCTGTTGAATAAATGAATGGTTTATCGAGACTACCATTACCAAAACCATAAAATATATCAAAATAATTTTTATTAGAATTACCGACGACAACATCTAAATTATTGTCTTTGTTTAAATCAGCAACAGTAAGCATGTTAGGAAAAGAACCATCTCCAACTGGAAAAATACTAAATAATGTAAAAGTACCATTACCAAATCCTAAAAACATAATTACATTATCACTACCATAGCAAGCCGTAGCGATATCAACATGACCATCATTATTAAAGTCTCCTGTAGCAACTGATAATGGACGTGAACCGAGTTCACAAAAATATCTAACTGGATTCGAAAAAGTTCTATTTCCTTCTCCTAAAAGAACGCCAATACTGTCAGTATAACGATCAGCATAGAAAATATCAAGATAATGATCATTATTACAATCATCAACTGTAATCCATGCAACTGATGATAATTCACCAGTAAAATAAGTTCTTAATGAAGAAAAATTTCCATTACCAAATCCATAAAATATTCCAACAGATTCTGAATAAGCATTTCCAACAAGAATATCTAAATAGTGATCATTATCAATATCAGTTACAGTAACTGCAATTGGATGAGAACGATTTCCAGTTGAATATTCGATTTTCTCTTGAAAAGTTCCATTTTTATAACCAAAAAATAAATGAATTTTATCTGTAGCAGAATCAACAGCAACAAGATCTATAATCGAATCATTATTGAAATCTCCTTTAGCTAATTGTCGAAGATATGAAGTATTTCCAGATGAATATAATTGAGGAGTTAATGATTGCACTAAATAATAATCAATAAAAATAAAAATATTATCTGTATTGAAATTAACAATAGCAATATCAGATTGATTATTTTTATTAAAATCATTAATAGTAATTTGAAAAGGATGTGAAATAATTCCAGTTGAAAATATGGAAGGTGAAGAAAAACTTCCATTACCAAAGCCAATTAAAATAAAAATATTATTTGAATCATAATTTGAAATAACAATATCTAACTGATTATCTTGATTAAAATCACCAATTCCAATTGACTGTGAATTTAATTGAGAAGATAATGAATAAATATTTTCTAATAAAAATTTTCCATTTTCATAACCTATAAAAATATAGATATTATTTGTTCCAGAATTAACAATAATTATATCTAAATATTCATCTTGATTTAAATCATTTATTGAAATTGACGAAGGTTTTGATAATAAACCAGTCGAATAAATAATTTCATTTTCAAATGATCCATTATTAGAACCAAAAAAAATCTCAAAATTATTTGTACCAGAATTAACAACAACAATATCATAATTATTATCTTTATTTAAATCAGCAATAACAACAGAACAAGGATGAGAATTATAACCAGTTGAATAAATAATTTGATTTTGAAATGATCCATTACCATAACCATAAAATATTCCAATATTATCAGTGCCATTATAAACAACAATTATATCTAAATATTTATCATTATTTAAATCACCAGTAGTTAATAGAATTGGACGATAAATATCAGTTGAAACTGTTATTTGTTTTGCAAATGTATCATTTCTATAATCTAAATAAATACCAATATTATGAGTATTATAATTAGTTACAGCAATATCTAAATATGTATTATTATTAAAATCATCAACAATAACTGAAAATGGTCGAGAATTATTGCCTGTCTTAAATATTATTTGTGACAGAAAATTTCCTTTAGCATCGTTAAGAAATATTCCAATTGTATTTGTACCAGAATTTGCAACTACAAGGTCAGGATATGAATCTTGATTAAGATCACCTGTTGCAATTGCATGAGGTCTGGAATTATATTGAATAGAATTATCATCGATTAATGTTATAAAATTTGATTGACATATTACATCTATAATATTTTATTATAAATATCAAAATAATTTATTCATAATACATACTTTGTTTCGGTCGGACTAAACATACGATTAATATAGCAATAGTCATTACAATTATTGTATAAAATATTGAAATAAATAATGTATTCCATAACATTTTTTCATACTCATCGACTGTTTTCTCTTTTCTAATATAAAATTATATATGAATTAGATTATTTTTATCAAATAATATAAATATACTTTATTCGATGGAGATCAGAAGAATGTAAATCGGCCAATGTATTTTCAGGAGAAGTATCAACATTATTCATTGAAATTATATTATACTACAAATGAAAAATATTTATTGATAAATAGAAATAGAAAGAAAACATCAAAGTATAAGTTTTTATATATTGTATCAGTATTTACCAATTATCCATAAAATATATTTAAACAAAATTTTTTTCATTCATGATAAAATAGTTACAGTTGATTACTTTGCTTGCATTTAATGATTAATTCAAATATGACATTTACCGGCATAGAGAATAATTGTTTTTTTTCACATACATTGCCTTCTTCTTCTTACTTTTATATAAAGAATACTAGTGATACGAACGAAAAATCGATATTATTGTTAATATTTTATAATACATTAAAGCATAAAACAAGATATTAAACGAAATCAAATAAATGCAAAATATTATTATCAATAAATTTTCAATTTACAATAAAAATTTCATATCAAAAATAAAACGAATACGATCTAAATATATTTATTCTTGTTACCTTATTAGAATACAATACAATTAATGCTGATGAGCAATATTTTTTTTTTCTCAGTCAATAGATAAAAGCCATAATACATCGTTATCAATCTATGATATTCACACCTAAATTTCTCAATGAGTAATTTAAGTTGTGTAATAAAAATGCATTTTATCGATGAATAATAAAAACACATCTTAATTGCGCATCATTACCTATTATAAATAACCGTTTTTTCTCTGCTTCATAAATACATTTTTTCGTATTTTTCAGGTGATAAAAAAAATTAATATGATTTCTACATATAATATTTTCTTTGATAATTTATTAAATGCGTTAGAGAAAGAGAAGTTAAAATATAGTTTATGCTGTCGATATGTGTCATGGATGAGCAACAGTAATGCATTGCGTATAAAAATATATACATTAGAAGTGTAAAGGGTGTGGATGTGGATGAAAGAGAAGATAGAAACACCCACACTCACACATTGAAGATAACGTTGAAATTTTCTATGGTTTAAAATAGCATTTTGATTCAAGTAGAGCAAGGTGAGTTACAAGAATTCTCTTTTTTTTGATTCTCTCTCTATCAATATTTTATCTAGACAAAAATTACGAATTTTTAATTTATTTAATGTGAAGAACAGTAAAATTATGAAATAATAGGATAACATCTTTCATATCGACGTTTCGACTAACTTCAGTAGTCATTAACAAGATACTCCTTATTCCAGCACCACCACCTACATTGATAATCATTATAATTGAGTCTCAAACTCTACGAATTGATTTAATACTGCATAATTGATGAGACAAAACATAAAAAATGCGAAAAAGGAATATCTTGTTAATGCCTACTGAAATTGAGGGTGTGGGTGTGGGTGTCAGATCAATCGAGTAGATAAGCACGGATGAAGTGTGAAATGGAAAAGTTACAGAATAATTTCAATCGTTTATGTATATCATCGTTTGTTTTTTTTCTTTTTCTTCGGAAGATGCACATCGTTGTTATTGACAATATGTGTATGGGTCAACATTTTATGCGATTATTTGGCTGACTAAATTGACGACAATCGACGCCGATTCTGTTCAATAGATGAATATGTTGCTATATAAATACAGTAGAGAAATTTGTTTAGCATACATTAATATTTCTTCATCATCGATAAAAATGAATAAGTTAGTATCCTTCTTCTGTCTTCTCATCGTCTTCATGGTGCTTCTCAATCATTCGGTTAAATCGAATCCTGTCATCGAAAACCACTCAATCGATAAACGTAGTATTCTGTCGTGTGGTCAAGGATATCATCATATAAGTCGACAATACCTTAATGAAAGAGAATGTGCTCGATCTGGTTGTCACTCATGTTGTATGGCCGAAGATGATGATTATTATTATTGTCATTATTAGAATATTCATTTCAATCATTTATTCAAGCAAACTCTTCGATATTGTTAAATATATAGAATTTTTTTTGAAACAAATAAAACGTAACCACACCCACCCACACCCTCAAAACAAGAAATATTAAGTTGTTCTAAGATGATAACAAAAGTTTAATAAAATTAACTTCTTATAGTTTTTATTTCTACCTGCACACCATTTTTCTAGTTGATCTGTTTGGATCCAAAACAATAAAATTAAGTTTATATCACAAAAAAAGGTTCGATCAAACCAATCACACAATTATTCAAATCAATTTTATTTCCAATTACAACAAATGGAAAAATTCATAATTTCATAAAAATATAATTGATAATTTACATAAAGTATTTTGTATCTTCAATGATCTAAAGATTTAAAGGAACTATTTTGTGTTATATCATAAACAAGTGCACGACCACAACTTCCACCTCTACTTGGAGGATGATTATCACCAGCTGTATCCCATAACTTTACTTGAAAATTTTGCGCTAATTGTTAGATCGTATTGATTTGAGAATTCATGTGAAACCAATTGTCTCACTAAACTTGTTTTCATACCTAATAAAACAATTTTAAGTGAAATTGTCCTTTTCTCCGTCATTGAAAATAATTATCTAAAACCTATGAATGATATGTTATCAATAACAACCATTCTTTTTTCTTTGTCAAGAGAAAAACACAATCAGCAACTACAAGATCTTGTAGGCCATCACCCTCAAGAAATTTTGCATTGATAATTAATTCTGATCACAACAATAAACTTAATACTTTATTTCAAAACATAAAATATTCACGTAAGGAATAACAAAATATAGATAAAATATTTATGGCGAGATTATAATATTTTTTAGAGCTGAGTTAAAGAATATCAGAAAAATACGGAACAACAATTATTTCTTATCAGTATTAGATGTTTCAGCATAATCGATTTGTACGGAAAGAGTTGCACGTTTATCTTCAACAAAAAATCGAGAATTTCGTGGAATGATCATAAATTGTCTTGTTTCACACATATGTGGTAAATCAATTGGATGTGTAAAATTAATAAATCCTTTCAATGGAATTGGAGAAATATAACTACCAATATCTGTAGAACCACCACCAAATCCAAAAAGTTTCGGTAATTCAATAATAAGTTTTTTGATTTTAAGTAAAAGTTTTCCCGTATGTTCATCCAATGCTAATTCACATTCACCATGAACTTTTTGTTTTATATGTGGAAGCATATCTAAAATACCAATGAGTTCGGCTAAAGCTTTAAATTGAAATATTGATGGTGATAAAATTGCTTCCATTTCAGAAATTTTTATTGTAAATCCAAGAACTTTAATATGAATCGATTTCATTGCTTTGAATAATTTATTAAATGTACTTTCATGTACTGTAATTGATGTATATTCATCGGGATGAACATGGATAGGCGATGAATCAAGTGCATCGAATACATCATGAATAGCTGAAAGTAATTGACGTTTACCAAATATATATTGAGTTGAGATATTTGTAGGTTTATCTGCATTTTCATGTTCAGTTGAATAAACAAAACAATTACGTACTCTTCCTGGTAAAGAATCAATGTTTGATATAACATGTTGTAATTTTTCATACGAACGGCCAACAATGATTACAACAATAGTTTTATTTTCATCAAATTGTTTAATATAGCTGGAAGCGATATCAAATGATGCACATCGTTCCATATGGTGTTGTCCACATTCTTTTTGTAATGATTCAATACATTCAGTTACTAATTGTTTGTTACCATCTTGATCGATAATAACAATAATTACGTCTTGTTTTGTTTCTTGAGTAGATGTAATCTTGTTGGAAGTATCGGAATCCATCAGTGACAATCAGAAAAAAATGTTGAGAATTGATAAAAAAGAGAAGGAACATCATGGAAGAGGATGACAATAGTCATTGAGTATGCCAATAAAAATAGTCACATTATTGAGTGACATCTTTTGACATTCTGAGAATTTCTATACAGAATATAAACTAGACGTCACTATGATCTTTTGACATCGTTAGTGTGTGGTATTATAGTACACATAGATTATTTATTTTACTATTTTATCCTATAAAAGTAACTGACAAAAAATAGTTAATGCTCTAAGAAATATTTCAAGCATAGTTCCGATTTCTTTCTCGTGCCAATTGCCAATCGGTAATTCAACAATAGTTGCTTCATTTATTTTGATATAGACAATAATTTGAATTTTATCACCATTTTCACGTTGATTTGCCTCGAACTTTATCGGATATTGAATTTCATCAATATTTAATAGATCAGTATTCTTAACTGTTGTTGAATGACTAGACCATTGATTTTTTTCATTATTTGACCAATGAACTAGACCAAAACGAGAATAATAGCGAATAAATTCTTCTTTCATTCGAGAGATCCATGATGCTAGACGAATAAATGATTCATTTGATGCAATTATTGATTTGTTTTCAATGGTTACATCTTGTTCTTTCATACGATTGAGAACTTCGAGTAGAAATCGTATTTGATATTTTAATGTGTCGATAGACCATCGTTGTTGTTGTTGTTGTTTTTTATCGAAAGCTCGATCAAAGATTAATTGAAGATGATTTTTCATGCAATGAATTTTTCATAAACTAATGTGGTGCTTTTGATTCGTGATAAGTGATCATCCAGAAGAGTATAGCACATATAAAGCCTGTATCAATAGTTGGACTTTGACGTTCTGGTTGCTTTGATTCTTTTTCCTCGTCAATATCATCGTTATTTAGTGGTTCAACTTCAAATTCAACAGGAATATAAATATTATTTTGTTACTTGATTTGCAATGAGTGGAAGAAGATTTGTATTGTTGATTTTTTGAATTTTATACGATGAATTAATTAGATGAGCAAAATCAAAATCAATTGTTTGTAAGTGGAATTGTTTTCCATTCTCAGTTGATATGTAGGGTTGAACATAGATCTTTGAAGGTATGAGATTTCGATGCACAACACCACATCGATGAATTTTTTCGACTAAATTAATCAATTCTAAGATAATCAGCATTTTCTCTTTAAAGTTGCACAATTCATCAGATAGACAAACATCCAGTCTCGTTCCTTTAGGTTCTTCAGTAATTAACCATTGATTTTTCATAATTACAATCGATCAATTCAGGTACACCTTCAACTTCTACAAAACAACAAACTTTTTTTTTGTTTGAAAATAGCTCATTTAAACTTACTTGGTAGTCGTTGAAGAGCCAATCGATGCCGTTCAACACGTAATCGTGATGATCTATCAGATATTGTCGAATAGATTTTCAATAATGCTCTTCTATTTGAATCAGTTCGATCGATGACGGAATAAATACTATCAGGCTGAGTCAATACATTTAAATTATCCATAATTGTCCACTATTTATACTTGAAATAACTGATGGCGTAGAACTGTGCAATTGTTGTGATATTATTGGACGAGAAATTGCAATCTTTGAGTTATAATAATCGACATCCATTTCTAGCTGACATTGCATACTATACGGTTGATCCCTACTAAACGTTTGATCATGCCAGGCATGAATCAAATCTTTAGCAAAGGTCAAAGATTTTTCATTAGTTGCATAGGCAATAGTAGGAAGTGATGGATCATTTTCGTTGAAGACCAATAAGTGTGACTGATTTTGAAAAGATCTTAACCATAAACGTTTAAAGATTTCTGGTCGTGTAACATTCGGTGGAAAATTACTGATTCTTACACGATAACCATCTTCTCCTAAATAAGTAAAAGTCAAAATAATTCACTGGTGCCCGAATTACTTGACATTGTATTTGACAACTACGGAGACAGTAGCCGTTCTTTTCATTAACTAATTTTTGAAGGACTTCATTATTACCGATATCTTTAATCCAAACTCAACTAAATGATGTTGTAATTCATTATAAGGTCGAATAAGAATATTTGCTACATCAATACGAAAAATATCCGAAAGTTCATTCCCATTGACATCACTAGGTAAATTCGTTACGTGGATACAATATTCGATTACATCAGAAGTAACAATGGTTCCTAAATAAAAATTACTTACACTTGTTATTTTGTATATATCAAAACTTACGTCGATCTTTTGGTATGCGTAATTTTTCAACTGTCAGTTGTATTCCTTTTATTCTATATGCGTTTTTCTCCAGAACGATTCGATCCACTGAATCATAACTATAACGAGAATGATTGAAAAAACAATATCGCCTACGTCTTATTCATCTTACTCATCAAAAATGAAATAAATCATGTTATCAGAATATTCTTGATAATTGATTGTACCATAAGGTAAAAAGTAATTTCTCACTTTAGCAATTAATTCTCTTGCAGAATAATCTTTAGGTAATTTTATGAGATAAATAGTGAACTCGGGAAAGTTGTCGAGATACAGAAAGTTCCTTTTCGGAAAGCAGAATCGGTCGTTCGATTATGAAGAATTACAAAAGAAATTATTTTAGAGAGCAACTTTCCTATTAATACAACTGACATGTTGATTCGTTCCATTGTACTTTAAACTTGACTTTGTTGCTGTCAAGGCTCTTGGCAATAACTTTATTGATAACATTCGTCTTATTCATCGTTTCATCAAGATCATGAACGATTAAACAACGTTTATATTTTTCCGGTTCTTTGTCAATAAAAGCTCCTGGATTCTAGAAAGAAGACATATAATTCAGCGCTCTCATTCTGTTCTAATAAACTTACTTTATTCATCGTTTCGTTTGCAATTAAGTGTAGAAATTGGATTCATCCTATAGAATTCTTTTAGTTTTATTTTGTTCTGTTCTTCATGCCATTTTCTTCTAATCACAACAGTAGGAAAAAACACTCGCATGTGAGTGTTGCTGTTGATCGTCTAAAAGAAGGATTTTTCTTTAGTATAATTTTTAATAATTTTAATTGCATTTTTTTCTTGTAAAAATAATCATTTTCATGAATTAAACTGTCAAAAACATTTGATGAATCTGAAAAATATCAAAAGTGCAATTTTTTTATTCCATGGGTTTTCTAGTAGTCTCAAGCTGTTAGAATGATTATATTAAGTAATTTTGTAGAAAGTTAATCTTCTTTCTGCACTCTAATACTCAAGAATGCTCAAATGACATACAAATCAAAAATCTTGCCATACCTTGACAATCTTAAGTCGATTCTGTATTCTGTTATGTAGGTAGTAAGGAAATTATGGCGGAAAAGATAAGAGAAGAAATTAATAGAATTGTGAAGAAAAAAAGAAAGAAAAAGAAAATATTATATTATTCCATCTTTAAGTAATATTTCTTTATTTCCATCGACCATTGTGAAACATTTATATATTTTTCACACGATGGTTTTGACATTTGTCATCAACTGGATTTTTATATGTATCTGTATTATCAATTGTCTTGTCGCATCAACTTTTCTCATATTCGCTTTTATTAATCATCGTCGATGTTTCAATTTTCCTACTCTGCTAGTATGTAATACTGCTCTTGGTATTCTTCTTTATTCATCTGTGAATATAGCATCAGTTAGTTATATGTTTATTTGGGATAAACAAGTATTGCCTATTGCCGATCCATTATGTTCCATACGTGCTTATTTTTATCATTCAACGATCGCTTGGATACATCATTCCTTGATTCTTCAAGCTATTGAACGATACTGTAAAATTCGAAGACTTAAACTTCTTCAAACTCGTACCCGTCAACTATGTTTTATTCTTGTTCAATGGTTATTTGATTTTATGTTTGTTTTACCTGTCTTTTTGACAGGTAGTATGAAAAAGTTAACAATAGATAATTTCTGTTTTGTTTCATTGAACACAATTCCATTAGTCTTTTATTTAGCTGGAATATCATTTCTTTTATCAGATATAATTTTAAGTGTCATCTATAAATTATTATTACGTTATGTACGCGAAGTTTCATTACGAGTAAATGGTAATTATCGTCTAAAGATGCAACGAGATTTGACAATGGTACATCGTATTGTTTTAATAAATGTTCAACTGGTAATTGTCGGTTTTCCTGTACTTATTTTTATTATATTAACAGCAATTCGTACTGATTTATTACCTAAGAATACTGCAAGAATCTTGATTATGATTATGAATTCCCCATTATCGATAATGCTCTTGATTCTCTTTTGGATCACACCATCTTTACGACGATGTCTTATCGATAATTGGAATCAATTAAAACAACTTCTTGGAACAAACAAAAATCGTGTTCAACCATTATTCAGTAATCATCGATATTAATGTGAGATACTCTATACAAAAGTAAAATTTTTCTCTTTATATTTATGTGTGACAAGACTGTAATTTTTATAATATTAACATTGAAATAAAAACATTACCATTATATTGTCTGTAACTCATAGTCAAAGAGTAAAAGATATCTATTTATATTACACACCCTCAGCAGGATTTGCTTTTTCTCTAATCAGAGCTTTATACAATCATATAATTATCTTGATTAGTAACGTTGAGGATGTGG